ATGAGGTGTTAATGGATGCTTAGGTGGTCAAATATATTCTCCTTCTTTACTCTTGGGAATTTTCAATTACCATTTAATTTATTTAGCACACACTTATATTTCCTATACTTTGGGTCAGGAATTTCGTAGTTGTAACTACGGAAGTTACAACTAGTAGCTCATTAATCTGTTTAGCGACCCTATGAGATTATGCATTATTATGATTATTATTATCCTCAATTTACAGATGCATAAACTCAGGCACAGAAAGGTTATGTAATTTACCTAGGGGCTTGCAAATCATAGAGCAGGCTTTCAAACCTAACCAGTCAGGCTTCATCATTTTTTGCTCTTTATCATTATGGTCTCAGATGCCTACATTAACATGTAACATATGTTAATATTCAGTATTAGCATTTTAAAGGTTCTAAGATGTCTGGCCTGAATAGATTTAGCAAGTTAAAAAAAAAAAAAGAAAACAGTATACCCAGTAAAATTTCAATTTCAGATAAACAGAATTATTTTTTAGTATGAAGATGTTCCGTGGAATGTTTTGGACATGCTTATGTTAAAAAAATCATTTGGTGTTTATCTGAAATTCAAACTTCACTGGACATCCTGTAATTTATCCACCAGCCCTTGCTTTAAGGAAAACTGTTTAATATCGTTTAATTTAGTTTTTCAACACTGGTTTGAACAAGGAACATTTTCATGATGGCACACCTCATATCCTGGGGAAGTTTCCTGGGACTTTATTTTAAGGCCAATGGCAATACTGCTCAGCTACATTAGTTTGAGTGCTTACTCCAGACCTGAATGATCTCTCCTACTTTTAACAGTTAGAGACACTGAACAATCCATGCCACAGGATTTCACACCTAATTTTCCACTTCTGTAACCCATCAACTTTTTCTCCAAAATAATATTTCATCTCCTTAATGACAAGGACTGGGTATCATACATCTTCCAAATTCTCCTGGATGTAATATTGGTTATTAGCATGATATTTTATCTGAAGGATTATTTACTTCTAATTCATGATTTATAAAGGAGCTTATTTTGCCAAATTGCTAATATAAGGATCCAGAGGATAACTGTGCCAAAATTGGTTTTGAAGTATTGTACCTCACAGTCTCAGGCTACTGACCCTTCATTCCTCTGCTATTACCTTTTCATTTTCACTTATCAGCACCATTTCTTATTATGTCTGCCTAAAGATATGTTAGACTTTTGGAATCAAGTTTTGCTTTTCCACATTTGAGGATGGTAACACTTGAGTCATTGTTCAACTCACACCATGAACACTTCCTTACGTTTACGCAGGTCAGATCATTACACGGCACTGGGATATTTTGTTGTTGTTGGAAGAGGGAAGCAGGTGTCTTGCTTGTGCAGAATGTCCCTTGTGCCAGCTGTATCTAGGAAAAAGCTCTCAGATTAAATAATGACATAGAATTTATTTGTTAAAGAATACCAAGATCCTGGCTGGTGTAGCTCAGTTGATTGAGCATCAGTCTGTGAACCAAAGGGTCTGCAGTTCGATTCCCAGTCAGGACACATGCCTGGGTTGCAGGCCATGTCCCCAGTAGGGGGCGTGCGAGAGACAACCACACATGGATGTTTTTCTCCCTCTCTTTCTCTCCTTTTCCCTCTCTCTAAAAATAAATAAATAAAACATTTAAAAAACTACCAATTAAGGACTGGGTGGGTTAGCTGCATTTTTTTTTTCTGCTCAGTGAATCAGCTGGGCTCAGTTTCTGTTTTTGTATCACAGTCCTCAAACCCCAGAGGAAAGACTTAAATCCAGAAAAAGGCAGAAAATAAGCAGTGGAGTCATGTGGATAGGCTCTAGCAGCTTTGAATTTGACTTTATCAGGAGCTTTTTCATCCTGAGGCTTTGCCACCTGTTCATTTCTTTTTTTTTCTACAAGTAAAATTTTTGTCAATATTTAAGCAAGAAGTTGCCATTAAGAGCTTGTTCTTCAAATGGATCCCCAAGTGCTATTACAAAGTATGGCGGGTTTAACAAGCTCACTATAAGCAGTCACCATTTTGCTTCTAGGATGAAGAGGTTGCTCACATCTTCAGCTACACAGCAGTTATTCTATCTTTATCTTTGCATTTATGTCATTGCATCACAAGGGTTGATAAAGGCTTTAAAATATACAGCTTGAATTCCAGCCTTTTAAATCAAAAATTGCAATCCAAACTCTCCATGGATCACAAAGGATGCTCTTCTGTGGAAAACTATGCTTCCAGGACTCACCTATATTCACTTCCATTGCCCATGAGAGTTTTTCAAGTGTATCTAATAACTTCCCACGTAATGGTGCATCTGTTTAAACTCAGAGCAAAATGTAGATGTCATTCAGATGTGAAGACCTATTACAAGATTAAAACAGATTTCTAATACATTTACTATTCATTTTGTAGCATGTGATTTAAATGCAAAAAAAAAATCGTTTGACAGTCCCCACTGATATACACCAGAGCATAACACACTTGTCCTAGTTTGGGGCTATTATAGACCTTGACACGCAATGTGACCTTGGTCAAAAGAAAACATGTTTGCTTATCATAGAAACTTAATCATAAGTCATAAGTAGAATCCTTCTTCTTTACTGCCCTTTTCTAGGACTAGGAAATATATTGTTTGTGGGACAGGTAGGATATGAACAATGGGCCAGATAGAGTCCAGGGTTATCTCATCTGTGTGAAAACCGCTGCTGGAAATCGATGTGACCTCTGCTACATTGCCAGCCCAATTCCCATCCTCTGTGCCCTATTTGTCTTTTGGTAGAAGCTTAGATCTGTGTGCTGTCTCCATGTGTCTCTCTTGGGCCAGATTCTCAAAATGAATCATTGCCTGCGTACCTCTTATATTTCTATTTATTTTCTTGGTGTTGACTAGGTTTGATGAAATATGATTCTTTTTGCATTGGATCCTCACTGCAGCAAACAGCACCTAATTCAGCCATGTCTGTCTCTTTAAAGAAGAGTAATAGCATTATGAAACTTCAATCTACTGCGCAGCAACAAAAACCATAGAGCTTGCCACCTGTCTTCATAGACAACAATAATTTTCCTTTTAGCCAATTTCATGGCATTTCTTTCATCTCCAGGTAGAAGACTTCTGGCAATTTTAATGTGGTTATAATTTTGTCTCATACATGCTGAAGCATTGCTCTCTTTTTCAGGTATCTTGTTTATGAATGCCCCTCGGGTTGTTTCCACTCAGTTAAATGTGTGCATAGAGTGATGCATAACAAGGATTCCATTAATTTAAGAAACTCTGCTGCTGGTACAAAATATTTATTCAGGAGAAGCATTATGTTATCTCTAAATCAGGAGGAAGTCAATGTTCTAACTTTGCAGCAGTTCACTTTTTAAAAATAGACCTGTAGGTACATAAAATTCTAGTTTAAGATTTTTAAACATCTGCCCTGGCTGGTGTAGCTCAGTGGATTGAGTGCGGGCCTGTGAACCACACAATCGTGGTTCGATTCCCAGTCAGGGCACATGCCTGGGTTGGAGGCCATTTCCCAGTCAGGGGACGCGTGAGAAGCAACCATACATTGATATTTATCTCCCTCTCTCCTTCCCTTCCTCTCTAAAGATAAATAAATAAAGTCTAAAAAAAAGATTTTTAAACATCCATGTAAAGGTGTAGAACCTCTTCAGTTATTATTAATATTGATAGAGCATTTTGAAGTCACTCTATCCATCTAATGCACACACGTCAGAAGACAAAATACTGGCTACATACAGACTTCAAATAATACAAACAAGACATCATGTTGCTTATTTAGTTATTCAGAAATGCACTTTAGAAACATTAGAGATCTTGCTCAAGACATGTTCTAAGATTTACTTTTTCTAATGAGATATTTCAAGTATTTAAATGTTGTACTTGAAAGAGATCACAAAATTTGTGGTAATTTGCTCATTTCCCCTGAAAGGAGGGAAGGGAGGGAGGAAGGAAGGAGAATGAAATATGGAAGGAGAGAGGGAAGGAGGGAAAGGAGGGGAGGAAGACATGTTCTATAAAAGGTTAGGGTTAATTTTACAATAACAAAGTTGTTGAAAACACACACCACACATTTATTACCAAAATATTATTTAAAAATAATGTTGTACTAGAAAAACATTCTTGAGGACATGTTGTTTATAGCTTCACATGTTAAAAGAAAGTTTATAGGCTAATAATAATGTATGCCTTTTATTGAATACTTTAAGACATATAAACAAATGCTGTTTATAATAGTTTGGACTTAAACAATGTAAAGCTTTAATGAAAATAATCAGTAAAAATTATTTTGACTCTAAAAAATAATTGCTTAGCATTTTTAGCCCTATAGGTTTTAGAAAATTGAAAGTTGTAAAGATGGTCTATTTGAAGAGCACTTGATTCGAAGATAATGTTATCCCATTTCACAGAAAGTGCCCAAGATTCTACCCCACAGCTTTCCACACAAGAAATCCTGAACAAACCATGACAACTGTGAACTCAGATTTGTTATGATGGTCGCACAACTCTGCAAATTTACTAAGTCATTGAAGCATACATTTAAAATAGGTGAATTTGTTATACATCAATTATCCCTTAATAAAGTTGTTTAAAATAGAGATAGGTAGATAGATTAGACAGACAGACAGATAGATAGATAGATAGATAGATAGATAGATAGATTTCAAGAAAAAAACCGAAAAGTCAGTTTATGCTGTACCAGGAAGTTGTCTGATTAATTTATAGGTATTCACAAACATACATTACATTTGTTTCTTCAAATTGTATGAATTTTTAGCAGTAAATGTTGCTTTATTTTCACTGATTTTTTTCTGAAATATTTTTTTTTAATTAGAGGGAGCTAGGGCAGAGATTTGACTTCTAATTAGGAATTTTTTTTCACTTCATTTGAGAAACAAAATCTTTAGAGATGGTACTAGAGGTGAATGAAATACAGTGAGCATTTTGAGCTGTTTATTCTCAAATCTTCTGATGCTCATTTTATTTTTTGCAGAAGACGTAGCGGTTCAAATCCCAATGATTAAGTCTCCACTGGACAAGATCCAACTGCCTCCTGGGCAGGCGTTGCCTCCTGGATTCCCGGGCCCATTCATTTTCGCTGATAGTCTGTCTTCTGTGGAAACTCTGTTGACCAACATTCAGGTCAACAATATTTCTATAAACAAAATAAATGTAATACAAGACATTAGCACCTCCATCAATTCTGTCGTATTTGAAAGCTAAAACAGATAAGCTGAACTGCATGCCATTTGCTGTGCTTTGACAGGGTCTTCTCAAAGTGGCTCTGGATAATGCGCGCATCCAAGAGAAGCAGATTCAGCAAGAAAAAAAGGATCTGCGATTGGAGCTCTATAGAGAAAAAGAAATTAGAGAAAACCTGGAAAGACAAATAGCAGTTGAGCTTCAAAGCAGAAGTAAGTTGAACAACATAAGTTATTGTGTTGTGATATTTTTAAAAGTATTAGAAATGTTCTCAGGGATAGCTTAGAAATGATGATAACAAATTGCCCTGACTGGCGTGGCTCAGTGGGTTGATTGCCAGCCTGTGAATCAAAGAGTTTCTGGTTTGATTCCCAACTGGGGCTCCTGCCTGGGTTGTGGGCCAGGTCTCCAGCAGGCGGCGCTCAAGAGGCAATCAGACATGGATGTTTCTCTCCCTCTCTTTCTCCCTCCCCCTCTCTTAAAATAAATAAATTAAATATTTAAAAAAAAAACAACAAGCTAAGAATCAAATACTGTGTGTAATCTACAAGGTAAGGTATTTACACTATTGATCTTGATAATAAAAATAAGAAACCGCATCTGACTTTCACTCCACATGCTGTTTTAGAAACATGAATATTATTACTTTTCCCTACAATACTATGAAATACATCTGGATAAAGATAATCTAACAAATCTTTATATAGGACCTTACTTTTTGCCAAGAATGGTGCTAGATTTGGGGGTTATAAGATAAATATAGCTCAGTTCCTAGCCTTGAGAGATTTATATTTTAAACTGCTAGCACAACCAACCACTTAATTTCAAGAAAAAGTGGTAAGAGCAGTGAAGTATAGTATATGTGGTTACATAGAGAGGGGGCAATCAGTTCATCTTGCTGGTGGCAAGTATGCAAATGCTTGAGGAAGGCTTTCTGCTGCTGATATCTGAATGTGAATCTTGATGACTCAGTAAGCTAAGAAAGGTCACGAGAGTTCCTCAGTTATTTAGATACTCTGGACAGAGGCATCATTGATCATAGTCATGGGGGGCAAGAGGCCTCATACATGAGCAAGTGTTTATAATTTATTATGGCAGTAGATTTGAGTTTCCTTAAGTGCATGGTGGGAGACGATGCAGAAACATGGAGGGAGAAGCTAAATTATGAAGGATAGTTTTAGCCATGTAATAGATTAGCATGGGCATTGTCCTGTAGGTGATGGAAAATAGAAACAGATAAGCAGGGGGTGGTGACCAGGTCTGATTTCACTTACCTAGAGCACTCCAGTGTTGGGAATAGCTTAGAGGGGGCTTGCGGTAAGACTGGAAACAAGGAAGCTATGTGGAAGGAGACTGTTCTCTTCGAGGGAATGGTTATGAGGACTGATTAGGGTAGCATAAGTGTTACAGAACAGAGGTCCAAGGGGGGGCAATATTTGGCCCACCAAGGGATGCCAAAAACTGTTACAGAACAACTGGGGCCCTCCCCAAGGACAGCATACTAATACTGTCCAGACCACCTGCTGGGCTTGTCTGTCCACCGCCAGAGGAAAGACATCTCAATGCCAGAGATTTGTGAAAAGGAAAGGAAAGGTTAATTTAAAGCTATGCAGACTTAAAATAGTGACCCAATGTCCCCATTAATATATCAAAGTCCTTTAGGATAACCACAGACACCCACAGTGCTCCCTTTTCCCCCTGCCCTAATTTGGGGTACCACATCTCAGGAAAAGAAGCACACGTCCATGTTTCAGGCCACTGGCACCATCCGGTTAGTTGCTGTCTAGGCAGGATCTCCAGTTAATCCAAGGTCATGTGGCACCTTCTCATGGTCCACTGGCAAGAGTTCTTTGTACCCATTTTTCCAGGCAAAGTCTCTCCTGCTTCCCAGGCCACACAGCCAAAGGGAGCACCCCAAAACTGCATGGATCTCTTCTACCAAAGCTGCAGGGGTCTGCACTCTGCCAAAAGTGTGTGGCTCTCCAACTGGCTGCAGGGGTCCTCATTCTGGCAAAGCCATATGGTACTCCTCCTATGGTTGCCGTGTCTGGGTTTTAAATCCCCACGCCAGTACTCCTTTGCAGCCCCATTTCCTACTCCTACAATCAGCTATACCTGCCAGAGCTCCCATATTCTCCCAGCTTTACTGGGCTGCCATAGTGATACTGTGGCATGGAGCCAATCATCTCCAAGCTCTCACACAGACTCTGTAACCAGGGGGAGCTGCCTTCCAGTTACATATTGGGTGGAAGTCACTCCCATCCCCCTGACTCAAAGCATGGCTATAGCTATTTAACATATATATGAAACCAGTTAAAAGTTATAGATATGTTAAATGACCACTCCAGAGGTTAGCTGCAAAATTGTTGCTATGCAAAACAGCTCTCGCCCTAGCTGGTGTAGCTCAATGGATTGAGTGCGGGCCTGCGAATCAAAGGATCCTGGTTTGATTCCCAGTCATGGCATATGCCTGGGTTGCAGGCTGGTTCCCTGCAGGCCAATTCCCAGCAGGGGACGCAAAAAGGCAACCATACATTGATGTTTCTCTCCCTCTCTCTTGCCCTTCCCCTCTAAAGATAAATAAATAAAATCTTTAAAAAAACAGCTCTCAATGGTCCTGTTCCACTTGTACCTTCCACAACTCACACCTGTGGGGGGGTGGTAAGGGGTGAGGACATCTTATTTGTTTTTCTAATATTTCCTGGACACCGTGAGTTCTGGAACCCATTCCAAATCCCTTTCTGGAGGGCCCCCCTCTTGGCTGTGCCCTTGGAGAATTAATTAATAGAATTAACTCTCCAACTATGGGTAGATATTTGATTATCCACAAACATAGATAATAAGATTAGTTTCTATCAAAACCAGAGCAAATTAAAAACTTCACTTTCCCCAGTAATTTCTACCTCTTCCTTATACTTACTCTAAAACACGTAACAGCAGCAAAAGTGCTATTGTGATTTTCACCTTTCATCCCTTCTCTGCTTACTCTTTAATGGCTGGATCACAAAGCAAATATTAACTGAAAGAGCTCAAGAGTAAGAAAGGGAGGCAAAGAAAGGGAGGGAAAATTTACAACCTAGACATTACCTCCCTAAACAAGAAAGATGAGTCTAGTTGAGTTAAATCCACTAACCATCTATTATTCCAAAGGAATAAATTATGTTCTGAAATTTGTGTCAAGTAAATGAAGGTTTCCTATTTTCTTTAGGGCCCAGGAATTATTAATCTAGTTTAAAATGGAAAATCAGTCATTGCATTTTGAAAGAATTAAACCTTTTTATTGCCAAAGGCATGAAATACTTCTAGGCTAAATTGTCTTTTTAAAGTGTGGTGAAATTAGCTTATTTCTAGCATTTGGTATTCAAAATAGATTATTATGATTAGTGTCATAAAAACACATTCCTTTGTAGAGAAAATTTTTGTAGTAAAGAACCGACTAATCATATGTTAAATATAATAACATCCTCAAATTGACTTAGGAAAATCTACCACATTTTGTAACATTGGTTTCTAACTTTTAGAGACCTACCAATTTCTCTTTACTAACTTGTCATAGACTATCCAGGTCTATCTCTATAATTGCCATCACATCTGTTGTCTTTTAAAAAGTCCTAGACATGGTAGATGTAATATTGTATGTATTATCAAATTTACCCTATAGTATTTATATTTAATAAATTTAGCATTTATTAAATTATGGTAAGTGTACACTACTACTACTATCATCACTACTACTAGCTAATGTGCATCAAATATCTAATATGACCTATATACTTTTTTTAACATTTTACATCTAATGACTAGCATGATTATAGGAAACTATTATCCTCATTAATTTAGAGAAACTATGCCATTGGTGTGAATCACAATATCCCCATCTACCACAACAGTTGAACTGGGTGATCGCTTAAATTCCTTTCTAGCTTCCTACTTATGTCATATCCACCACACCCAACTTTTGATAACGAAGGGTGAACGCTTTACCTGAAGTCATATGATTGAAAAGAAAGAGAGGGAAAATTGATATTATGGTCACATTTCTCCAAGTATATAGACATAATAATAACAACCATAAAGATACATATATAAAGGCATGTAGAAAATTGTAAATATATAGTACAAATTCCTACCATTTTTCTCTAATTAAAGGATGCTATGTTTTACACTCAAAGTAAATATTCCACCGAAATTCCTTTTAGTTGTAAACCAGAAAGTGTTACTTGAATTAAGCAGAAATACAAAGGGATAAGCAAAAGTAGGTTAATTACTAGCCATTATTACCTAAAAGGTAGATCATTAGTAAGAATACAAATAATAATAATACCACTATTAATAACACAAGTAATATAAATAATACAATAATTAAAGACAAATAATAATACAAGAATAAACTTAGTGTTTAGCATACTCACAACTGTAAACTTACTTTTGCCCGCCCTGTACAAACATCATAATATTCTTTGCAGATTAAACACTTAGAATCATGGAATGATAGCGCTAAAACAGAACTTGGAGGTTACTTGTTTTGGTCCTTGACCAACTATATGGTCCCCAGGATCTGAAACAACTACGTATGTGATCTTTGGCCCTCAGGCTATGAAAATTACCGGCCATATAATCTTTTTCTTTTGTATTTTAATTGTTGTTCAAGTACAGTTTTCTGCCCTTTCCCCCATCCCAGCCCTCCCCACCTCCCTTCCGTCTCTACCCCCTCTTGTTATTGATCATGTGTCCTTTATACTAGTTCCTTCAAATCCTTCCCCCGAAATTCCCTCCCCTCTCTCCTCTGGTCACTGTCAGCCTGTTTTCAATTTAAATCTTGAGCAAAATTAACCTCTGAAGAACTCAGTTTTCTCAACTAGAAAGTGGAGATACTAGTGTTTTCTTTGCTGGTTTGCTGAAAGGCTTCAAGAAGATATAGTCCCAGATAAATGCTCAGTATAGACTAGGTGCTAAATAAATTTTAAATGTAATATGCTGTGAAATTGTTTATGGAATATGTGGAATTATACTTTTCAAGAGAAACAACATATACAATGTTTTTGAACTAATAGTTATACTAGAAGCAAAATTATGTCTTATAATTACATTAAGTTATACATTAATTTGAATAAATTTAGATTTCTGATTTAAACAATGTGTTAGAATGCTTTACTGGAATGATGCTAATTAACTATAATTACAATAGCAAAATAGTTTTACGTTTAACCTTACATATAGTCTTTCATCTGAAATAACAAGTCATGCATTCTCAGTGTCTTTGTTCCAAGATTTCCATTTTGTTATTAATTACCTTAGACCTCTGTATTTTTGTCTCAACTGAACATAAATTTATCTGGGTCACTGGCTCCCAGTTGCTGAAGGTCATTTCTATGAAAAGACATTGAAATGTGAGATAAATACAATTGAAACCCGAATTATCATCATATTCAGTTCAATCATGATATATTAATTTTATGTGAATATTTTTGACATTTCAAATGTCATATAATTTATAATTTTGTTCAATGTTCCCTGAAAGTTTTTCTATCACTATAATGTCAGTATGTTAATTTTTCAAAACTGACTTATGAAGAATGTGAAGGTCAGTCTGCCTAGAACCTTGCTATGAATCAGCATATTGCTGGAGCCTAATAATTCTGTTTGAGAAATTAGCACAGATTTCAACATTTCAGTTTAGAAACAATTGTACATTAAGACAGTTGAAGTTTCTAGTTAAGATGCACCAAACCGATAGTAATTTTAGACTGTAATAAGAATACAACAAGAATGATCAGAGGAAAGGGAGCTGTCACCCATGAGACAGATTCACGTAGCAATTTGTATTTCACCGAGACAAAGGGGAAGCTAAACTCTGCAGTGAAATTTCCTTCCCATATTCTCAGTTAGGCCTACTGCTTGTAAATGAGGTCTCCCAATTATGCAGTTTTCCTGCAAGGTGGCAGTTCTCAGTCTGTTAGTACCAAGACTACATCAGGATTCCCCTGCCATGGTTACCTCAGGTGGGGTGGGAAGCTGGGAGTTCAATCTGAGGGGTTTCCTAGGCCAGAGTATGTGTATCCAGAGTATTAATGGCTGCAAGGCATTTACTGTCCATAAGGTGGCCTTTGGTTGATCACGTGGAGTCCATCTCAGCAGAGAAAGCCCTTCTCCGGATTCACATCAAATGATTCTTTCTTCATACCTTGAGAGTTGAGGTATGGTAGTTTCTTAGCTCATCATTACCTTTTCTGCTTACAAAATAATACTGCTGTGCTTTTCCTGGTTGCTTATTTTCATCACGACTGACAGTTATTCTCTTCAAAATGGATGGATGGGGAGATAGATAAATGCTGTTATCATTAGTAACATCTCAGAGAAATACACTTGAACCTGTATCCTTTAAAAGACATACCACGTTTTGCAATCCAAATGATATTTTCTCTTTATTTTACATTTTAAAATATGACTAGTGATATCTTGATGAACAATATTTCTTAAGAAATTGATAAAATTTTTAATGCTATCATCAAATGTGTCATGTTAGTCAAAACAGAAAACAATTTTTCACCACTGCAATCACCACCATCCAACTATGTGTGTAATTAAAGAGCATGCGCACTGGAACTACAAAAGCAGAAACAAGTCGGTTTTAGGACTGAACACTCTGTGGTTGAGCTAATGACAATTGGAACCAAAATAACAGAATCATATTTCAACTGATACATTTATATATCTTTCTCTCATCAATACCTATGGTTCATAATCCATCACAACTAGCAACTCTTCTTTCATTCACCAAACCTTTGCAAACTATTTACCTTTCACATTTCAGATACCATGCAAAAGCGCCTGAAGAAGGAGAAAAAGGCCAAGAGAAAACTGCAGGAAGCTTTGGAGTTTGAATCAAAGCGACGGGAGCAAGTGGAGCAAGCACTTAAGCAAGCTGCTACTAACGAGAGTGGCCTGAGGATGTTGAAAGGTAATGTCTGATTTGGCTTCATGTGCTAAAGGAAAGGAAAACCCGATTGAAAAAACAGGAAGGGAGGGAAGGAGAAGGAAGGGAGGATAGAAGGGAGGGAGGGAGAAAGGGAGGAAGGAGGCTTTGTCCAGGAATAATTAAAAAATCAATTTGAAGCTAAGCAATTTAAGTCATTAATTAAATATGTCAAAATAATCTTTATTCCGCGAGATAAATAGTTTTGTAATAACAAGAAATCCTGCTGGCTTTTGCAGTAAAAAATGTAGTACTAGTAACCTTTCTGCATCAAAACTGTAAATGTTATGGGTCCATTCATATTAAAATGCTGATGTTTAAGATTTTTTAAATTAAGAACTCTATTTTTAAAGATTTTATTTATTTTTAAAGAGAGGGGAAGGGAGGGAGAAAGAGAGGGAAAGAAACATCGATCCACTGTGTCTCGCATGTGCCCGCATGGGAATGGAAACTACCACCAAGGCACGTGCCAGACGTGAAATGGAACTCGTGACCTTTCACTTTGCAGGACACATCCAACCAACAGACATCCACTGGTCAGAGCTGCTCCTCTATTTTAATGAGCTAAACAGTAGTGGTTCATTTAATTAAGGCAGTGTTGAGGATTTAAGGAGCACCTGGTTGAAAAAGAATGTTGTAAGTAAATCCCCAGAGATCTTTTGAAAAAAGGTGCTTTTGTCATGAAATGTCTTAAAATTACAAACTTTTCTGTTTCCATTTTTAAATATGGAACCCTGAAACACTGTTTTATTTCATAGAATATTCCAGTTCCTCTTTCATAGCATATTGACAGCTCATCTATTTAACTGATATGTGTATGTTACCAGGATGAGCCTAAGGATTTTATACACATGTGTGCACATACCCTGGACACACATATGACACACTCATAAATTAAAAGGCAGGTGCTTCATTGTCCTGTACTAAGAATGCATAAAGGATTTTTACCAATGATCGATCATATCCTTTCATTTCCAAAAGTTCAAGTCCTTTTTACTCTGACTGTCTCGGATCATTCTGCTCACAATCAATAGATAGGTCTATAGTGATATAGATCATTATCTCTTGACAACTGTGCCTTGCTGAGGCAAAGAAGAAAGAGAATAAATATTAATACATTAATATTTTATACAATGTACCATGTTAGACAGTGGGAGCCAGCATCTTTACTTCCTTAAGGTTTGAAAAGTGACATTTCCGACCAGCAATGGGACAAATGTTCTGGACATTCTTATGATTTGAGGTCCTGAACTTGGAATTCTGAGGCAGTTTTACCTTTTTTATGCACATCTGAAATCCACATGTAAGTGGCTGCACTCTAGCTCCAGTGTTCTATGTTATAAAGAAAAATCAGCTGTTTCTACAGCAGGAGGGGTACCTTGTACTCAGATCATTTCCTTCTCACGTTCTTCCTTGATGGCATTGGGTGATACACCGGCATCTGTTGCCACATTACCTAAGGGTTTGCATGAGCAAATATGTATATACAGAAATGTTCATATAAATGGGGTTCTGTGTATATATATAAATTTCACATAGCCACATTTCATATTAAAATGGAAAATAAGAGGCCAACCTCTTTTTTCCTTCTCTAAAGTTTTTTTGGAAGCAATTCACATATCCCTTTGCACCTAGAAACTATACTATGGAAAGACCACAAGCCATAACCTGTGTTGTGGTGTTGGTGTGTGCTTAACATAGACAGAATCTCCTTATCTATCAGATTTTATAAATGAAAACTGCAGCATCGGGATGGAGCACTTCCACTTATGTGATTGTATCTATGTTTTTCTTTTTAAAGATTTTATTTATTTATTTTTAGAGAGAGGGAAAGGGAGAGAGAAACAGAGGGGAGGAAACGTCAATGTGTGCTTGCCTCTGGCATGCCCCCTACTAGGGACCTGGCCCACAACCCAGGCATGTACCCTGGCTGGGAACTGAACCAGTGACCCTTTGGTTTGCAGGCCAGCACTCAATCCACTGAGCCACACCAGTTCACTGTCTTTTTCTTATTCCACAGTGAAAGCATGTTACATAATAGTCAGAGACGATTTTTATGGACAGGTTATTTTCCTGCGATTTATCTCTAGAGAATAAAATGAATAAAGAAGTATTTACTATAGACCTGAAAATGTATGCCCAATTATAGCATTCACGTACAGTTTATAACACTCCTTTCTAACATAAAAAACAAATATATATACAAAACACAAAAATGCCACCCAACATTTTTATGTTATGTATAGGATCAAAGCACTGTCTTACTGATAGTTTTCACTTTAAATGGAATCAGAGGAAAACAGATTTGTACCTTAATCATGACTGTCCCTTTTTTCAGATACTGGGATCCCAGATATTGAAATAGAAAACAATGGGACTCCTCATGATAGCACTGCTATGCAAGGTACAGTTACAGCATCTTTATCTCTGTGACTGCTTAATATGTCATCCCTGGGGTTGGGGCAGGAGTGGGCCTCTGTTCATACTCTTCATATAAGTAACATTAAGTTTAGCTCTTCTTACTTTATAACAGAGTAAGAAGTCTGTATTGTTTTTTAAAAGATTATTTATATCCTCATATACATACACATGCATGTATGTACATCGTGTAAAAATACATTTATAATGTGAGCAAATTTATTGCATGTTTTAAAAAATTATTTTATTTATTTATTTTCAGAGAGAGGGAAAGGGAGGGAGAAAGAGGAGAGAAACATCAATGTGTGGTTGCCTCTGGCATGCCCCCTACTGGGGACCTGGCCTGCAACCCAGGCATGTGCCCTGACTGGGAATCGAACTGGCGACCCTTATGCTTCACAGGCCCATGCTCAATCCACTGAGCTACACCAGCCAGGGCAGCATGTTTAACTGTTAAAAAATGTACTTTTGTTATGTTAGGTATATTTTAAAAATGCATAAATGTTAATATAATTTTCCTTTTAGATGTTATGCTATAATATGCTTTTTAAAATCTCACTAATATTTGCAAAAGCCACAGGTATAATAATCATAACCTATTGATTAAGTTAAAGTGTTATTGACAACATTTTTATCAACCTTTAAATTTCAATGTAAACTTGAGAGAATTTTAGAAACCACCTAAATATGGACCAAAAAAAGCTCAGCTTCTTAGTTGTAATTTGCAGAATTCCCATAAATGCTCAGGTCCTTTAAATATCTTTAAAATATTTACTACTAAGAAAACAGATCAGGCAAATCAATATAGAGTCAAAAGCACCTACAATATTTTGACGGCTGGAGTTTTTCCAGTGTGATTCTAAGGCAGCTTTTTAGGTTTTTGTATGCTGATTATATTTACTTTCACATTTATTGTGAAAATGTCTCATCTGTTACCGAACAAGAAGAGGTCCGAGGGAGGGGCAATACAATATTTGGCCCACCTAGGGATGCCCAAAACTTCTATACAACAGGGGCCCCTCCCAAAAACAAAATACTAAAATCTACTGGGCCCTTCTGTCCGCTGCCAATTGGAAAGACATCTCTTAATGCCAGAGATTTGTGAAAAGGAAACAAAATGTTTATTTAATGCTATTCAGGCCTAATGCCACCACTAAAATATCAAAGTCCTTTAGGGTATACACCTACACCCACACAGCGCTCCCTTCTCCCACTGTCCCAACTCCGGTACCGTAAATCAGGAAAAGAGCACACGTCTGTATTGCAGGCTGCTGGCACCGTCAGCTGTGTCACTGTGCAGGATCTCGAGTTAATCCAAAGTACTGTGGTACCCTCTCATGGTCCACTGGCAAGAGTCCTTTGTACCCAGTTCCAGTCAAAGTCTCTCTTGCTTTTTCAGGCCCTGTGGCCAAAGGGGGCACCCCAAAGCCGCGTGGGCCTCTTCTACCAAAGCTGCAGGAGTCCGCACTCCACCAAAAGCATGTGGCTGTCTTCTTCACCTGGCTGCAGGGATCTCCATTCTGGCAAAGCTGCGTGGTTTTTCCTTTCACCTGGGAAAGAGGGGGTCCGCACCCTGCCAAAACCACGTGGCTCCCTCTTTCACCTCACCAAGAGGGGGTCCTCACTCTGCTGAAACCGCGTGGCTCTCTCTCATCTGGCCAAGCGGGGACCCTTCATGTCCTGGAGCCAGTCTTTTCAAGCTCTCACACAGGCCTTCTCACTCAGGAGCGCAACCCCTAGTTCCATCCTGAGTCCCAGTCCACTACCTTCTCCCTTCTCCAAACTTGGCCACTGCTATTTAACATATCTATGAAACTAGTTAAAGGTTATACATATGTTAAATAACCATTCCAGAGGTTAGCTGCAAAACTGTTGCTATGCAAAACAGCTCTCAATGGCCCTGCTCCATTTGTCCCTTCCCTCTGTGGGGGGGGGGTGAGGACATCTTATATGTCTCTCCAATATTCCTATACACTTTGAATTCTGGACACTATTCCAAATCTTTTGGGGGGGCCCCTGGCTGCACCCTGTATCAACTCTAATAAAAAAGGCATCTCCACAAGAAAATGACTTCCTAACTTTCAAAAAGGAAGAAGACCATGGATATATTGCTTGCTGGCGGTTGAAGTAATTGGTTCCTTCCCATGGTCTGGTGAAGGCAACAAACCTGGATGTCAATGGGGACCCCGGCCCGTGGGTCCGTGTGTTGTGGCTGCGATGAACAAATTTACACAGACTGCAGAAGTCCTATGGAGAAAAGGGTATAGCTTGGCCACTCTCTGAGTGAGAGAGGGCCCAGACCCCTGCCTGGACAGGCTTTTGTTACTTTTCTGGGCACATTACATCCAGGATGGTCCTCATTTACTATGCACAGGTTCACTTTAGGTGGTTACCTTTTACAGATAACAAAGGAGAGGAAGTTGCTAATTACTACAAAGAAAAAGGATATTTGCAAATGCAAGGAAAAAAGTAGTTGAACTGGTTATACTCCATCCTTGGGAGGTTTAGCACAGATTTTAGGAAGTTATTTTAAAGATATGCAGTAAACATTTCTGCCTAAATTCAGGGTGAGGGAGTTTTGGCAAAAAGCAAGCCTCAAAGTAGCCTAGGTACAATGCAGTCCTGATTCCCCAAGGGAGAACCTATCTGTGGGTGTGGGTCCTGTGTACCAACCTCACTCCCATTAGTTTTCTGAATCAGGTACTGGGCTGTATTCTCCATGCCATAAGGAATGATTCCCTATAGAACATGACCAATAGAGCTATTTGGGTTTATCTGAGAGTCACCCTTTTATGTGACAGCTTCACTGAATTTGGGAACTCTCATTAATGTAGCTTTACACATTATCTGTACAAAACCAGGAGTGTTAGAGCTCATGGATCTTCTGAGAATGAGTTTGCTTTAGCTGACCAGACAGAACTAATGCATTAACTAGGTGCCTTGCTAAATGTGAAAGCATAAATGTTTAGCTCATTCAGGAAAGCTTTTGCGGTCTCTTATGCCACCTTTGCTTGCCTGCTTTCTTCCCTCAACTTGAAGGCTATGTGTATGTCTGCAAAGCCAATTTGGATGGGACTCAGTGTTTTATCTCTCCATGTGCTGCAGTGAGTTCTATGAAGAAAACTCCAGTCGTGGTGGGCTACCACTAGTTGAGGTTGCCACCATACATCAGGGCCAGGGCAGGGTTGAATAAGCCTGACTCATTTGATCCCTTCTGAATCAGTGATACACAAATATAAACATGGTCTTTAAGGAGCATTGAGCTTGACTGCATCCCTCTTTTGATTGGGATGGGATGTAAGGTGAGCTGTGGAACTGGAAGGGCAAACCAAACATGATCAACAGGTTGTATCTTGTGACCCTTTATTCTGTGTATTTAATTTATGTGATGCCTTTAGTACATGGGATTAGCATCTTCCCCACTCTGAGATAAATACAAACTTATGAACTGTCCCAATAGTATTTCATTTCCATGTAACAAACAGCACAGCTCTTACTCATAGGTGGTTGGTTAATTAGGCGATAAAAGCAAAAGGTACATTCACACTCCATTTGGCACATTTGTTTTTATTTTAATAAAGCCTGTACAAATCAGTTGCTTTCATACTAACTTGTGATTAAGGGAAGACACATTTAATATCTGTTTTCACTAAACATAATTTGAATAAGTGCTACTAATTTTTGCTGATTAAATATAAGTGAATTAGATAGACCTTTAAAAGGCTGAAGATCGAACTTATTTAAAAGCCAGAGAATTAACTTTTATTATTTTTATTTCAAATGACAAATGAAATTGTCAACTATTTGTGGTTAGTGTTGTAAATATATGATAGATTAAAATTTCTCTTCTGAACATTCACCTTTTACATTATACTAAATAATCTTAACAAACATGATGAAAATGGAAAAGTACACATTTTTACATCTCTTAGGACAGAATTTAAGCAGCACAAGTCATAAAGTTCCTATCATCAACTTATGGAATGGATGCCATGTGTTCATATTTCAACAGAAACACAATTTAATATATAAAATAAAAAATTTAACCAAAAATTATTTATTCCATTATCCAGGGATATTGCTTTCAGAAAATATTATTAGAACTCATCTTAAATATAATCCACCAAATCAAGCAACTTAAATAATTACCTAAAAAGTCCCTATAATATTACTTATTAAGATGCTCAGAATTGAAAAACTATGTTTATATGTATTTATGAATTTCAAGAAAATGTATCATACTGGAAAACAAAATGCAAGGCTAACTATTATTTTTCCATTCTTCCTAAAGTTTTTACTCTTGTCTGTTATACTTATTTTTCTTTTGTGGCTGATTTTAATACCATTTTCATCATTTTTAATTCTATCACCTAACCATTTTTTAAACAGCAAGATTATTCCCTAACATTGTTTGTAAGAGTCAATTCATGTATGCCGATCCGATGCCATTTCAAAAAAATGTGTCTCCGTCACAGCGAACAATTCAAGCCCCAGTGAAGTCTTATCTCTTCCTATTGTCAGTACCTGTGCTGGATAGAAGTCTCCCTAGTGCTTTCCCTTTGAAATTCAATGAGTTGCATGGTGACATCTCCTTAAGAGAGTTTAAAGAGGACTCTGGAGAATGTTGCTTGGTCATGCTGGGAAGGAATAAAGTTATATACAATTTTATGATAATTTCCACTTGCCAGATTCAAACACGTATTTGAAATCTAATTAGCTTAGATATCTCATGCCTTTCATGCTTTGGATGTTGTTTGACAGACACGATATCATGCATGGACCATGGTCCAAGAAAAACATTTGTGTATATTTTGTATTTTAGCAGTCTATGATAGTGACCCTTCCTGAATATTTTAAGGTGATCAAACAGTGAATACATACTCATTTTGATGGGCATGTCCACTATAGCTGGAGGTGAAGGATTCAGTGGAACGTGTATGGGGTCCAGCAGAAATAACACCTGCTGGAGTGTGGTTCCTAGAGTCA